TCCATGCTCGAGAACGTCCTTCTCATATTCCCAAATGCTCTTTCTGTGCTTCAGGTCGTATCTAACCTGCTCTTAGCTCCTTGTCTTGTTATTTCAAGCCCTGTGTTCCCTGTTCCAGACCGGTCTCGACCTGACGACCTTCGCCTGTACCTGGCTCCAGTGTTCATAATGTAACTCATAACTCATAATCCACACACTCGCATCTTATTTTGGAACGACATTGACCTATCTGAAAGGCAACTGAGGCAGCAGAGTATAAAGGCTGTTCAACACTGGCATGATTCCAAGTTCCCCTCCCTGCCCCCCTGCTCCCCCTTCCCTCCTCCTCCTCCTACCCATCCCCCTCCTACCTCTCCCTCTCCTTCCTCTCCCTCTCTACACCCGAGGTCTCCACCCCATTGCTCTTCTACCCCTCTCCCCCATCTATTCCTCGTTCTTTCTCCTGTTCCCTTTAGCTCCGTTCACTCACATGCCCCCTCTGCACCTCCCCCCACACGTTCCCAATCCTGCCCTTCCCCCCTCTATCCCCTCGGCCTCTCCCCCACCCCCCTCCTTCCCGACGAAAAACTCCCATTAGTCCATCTTCCTATTTTCCTTCGACGTCTCATCGTCTGCACCACACTCGTCCCTCGCTATTCCCTGCTGTGAATCCATTCCCTTCCCCCTCTTTCACCTCTCCCTTCTTTCCCTCTTTCACCCCCTCCCTCTCCTCTTTCACCCATCCTCCCTGCCCGCTCCCCTCTTCCAGCTCCTCCCACAAACAAATCCGTTCTAGAGGTCATTCAAGTTGGAGATGCTGTGTTGCCAGTTGTCAGCCATCGGATACCTTTGATGGCATCCCGGCTCGTAACGCCGCAGAGGATGGTTCTCTGGTGATAATGGAGGATAATGACGGTTCTTGTGGTGCTCATGGTGCGGATGATGGCCCCTTGTGGTGCTCATAGTGTCCCCGGTGGGTGGTGACATGGACAATACTGCTACACGCTGTTCTATGATGATAGTGGCCGTGATAATGGTGCCGGGGAGTGGGAGATGAGGATAGTGTGGTGGTGACTGTGGTGGTGACTCTAAGGTCAATAGGGGCCAGGGAGCCGCAGTAGTGAAGGTGGTGCTATTGATAGTCTGGGCGGCAGTGATTGGAGTGTTATAATGGCGAGGGCCACGACGCTCACACAATACCTCCAGGGAATTAGTGTCAACAACCCAGGGAGAGAGAGAAAGAGAGGGAGAGAGAGAGAGAGAGAGAGAGAGAGAGAGAGAGAGAGAGAGAGAGAGAGAGAGAGAGAGAGAGAGAGAGAGAGAGAGAGAGAGGAAGAAAGAGAGAGAGATGAAAGAGAGGAGGGGGCAGGGTGCAGATCAGGCAGCTGTACAGGGCAAGTGAAGGACACAGCAGCTTACACACACACATTGATGAGAGTAGATAGACAATTAGAGTAGATTACAGTAGAGATGACAATTTAACACAAGAGCCACACACACACGGCAACACAGATAAAGTTGATTACCCAAACGAGCCATAGAGCCATTAGCAAGACCTTTTTCAGTGCCATAGTTAACAAATGGAATGCATTAGGCAGTGATGTGGTGGAGGCTGACTCCATACACAGTTTCAAATGTAGATATGATAGAGCCCAGTAGGAACCTGTACACCAGAGGATTAACGTTTGAGAGGCGGGACCAAAGAGCCTTAACTCAACCCACAGACCAAGAACACAGACCAAGAACAGGTCAAGAGAAAGAAATTGATTACAATTAAGATGGAAATAATCCTTAGAAATAATGGGGGCCATTTGACAAGCCGCTGGCTCCCTGTCGGGTCGAGGCCACTAGAGAGAGAGTGACCCTAAGGTAAATTCAGGTAAACTTAACTAGGCTAAGAATGGCCTTAACTGGCCGGTGATAAGAGGCTCTTAGAAGTAGTGAGGCACTCAGAAGTGTGGCGGGTCCGGGGTCGAGCTCTCTCCTACTCTCTGGTCCTCCTGTTGTGTGTGGGAGGGAGGGGGAGGGAGGGAGAGGGAAGGAGGGAGAGGGATGGAGAGGGAGGGAGAGGGAGGGAGAGGGAGGGAGAGGGAGGGAGAGGGAGGGAGGGAGGGAGGAGAGGGAGGGAGGAGAGAGAGAGGGGGGAGAGAGAGGGGGGAGAGAGAGGGGAGAGAGAGAGAGGGAGGGAGGGGGAGAGAAAAAGGGGGGAGGGAGAGAAAAAGGGGGGAGAGAGAGAGAGAGAGAGAGGGGGGCGGGGAGAGAGAGAGAGAGAGGGGCGGGGAGAGAGAGAGAGGGGGGGGGGAAGGATAGGGAGGGAGGGAAACAGTATATGGTGTGTGTGGGAGGGGAAGGTGGAGAGAATAGGAGTGCATTAGCCTCGCCTGACTAGCTCATCTTTAGTAGTGACTTTGTACTGCTTTTCTCTCTCTTATCGTCTCTTCCTCCCTCTCCCTCCCCTCCCCCCCCCCCCCCGCCTCTTCTCACAACTCTATATCCCACATCTCTAAACTTATCCTTCACCTGCACCTCTCTACCTTCTTGACTCAACAAACATTCAGAATATGTTCTTGACTTACAGACGACACCTGGGGCCAGATTCACGAAAGCACTTACGAACCTGCACATCTTTTCTCAATCTTTGGCGGCTTTGTTTCCAATTATTAAACAGTTAATGAGCTCCAAAGCGCCAGGAGGCTGTTTATAACAATAACAACGGCCGATTGGGAAGTTTTCATGCTTGTAAACTGTTTAATAATTGGAAACAAAGCCGCCAAAGATTGAGAAAAGATGTACAGGTTCGTAAGTGCTTTCGTGAATCTGGCTCCCCCCTGCTCTTTATAGTCAGACTTACTGCAATCTTAAGTCTAGCGGGCCGCACATATATCAGCAAGCTGCTATATGAAGTCATGGGTTATTCCAAATAAAAAACAAAATACCTTTTAAAATAAACTAACATAATAATCTGAGCAGAAAGCCAAAGCCCCACAAACGACCTCATTATCGGAAACTGGCGGGCCAATAAGTGGGCCAGCATTTATGAGGAAATGAGTTGGATAAGATCCTGCATTACCATGGCGACTCCTCCACCCCATCTCCCTCCATCCCCTCCCTATCCCCTCAACCCCTTACCTCCTCCTCCTCCTCTCCTTCTCCTCCTCCTCCTTCCATCCTACTCCTACGTCCTCCTCTCCTTATCTTTCTCTCTGCCTCCATCCTGCTATCAGTTTCCACCATCTCCCTGCGATATCGCTGTGCCTTAATGATTCTCTTCGTATCTTATCAAATTAGGTTCTGCCTAGCATTGAAATACCTTAGCCTGGAACCAGGTACCTGGTACCTGGAGCCACAGCCATGATAAGGTGTTTCAGGGTATTTCTTCCCTGAGGGAAGAAATGCCCCTGAAGGGAAGAAATGGGTGGTTTCCTGGTGTCACGGTAAGACTAAAGTACGTGCGTACGTGTAGAGTACGTCTAGAGCTCTAAGAGTTGCCATTCCGTAAAAGATACAGCTGTTTTGTTGAACCAGCAACGTACGAACCCCACCAACCCGCCTAACTTATCCAGACCGATTCACACAAATCGTCAATATTTTGATGCAAGTAGTAAAGAGTTTTCTTGAATGAAAGCCTAGTATCATTAGTAGATTAGTAGTGAATATATCTTCATTACAGAGTACTCCATTAACCTCGGCTCATGTACGAATCCTATGAGTAGGGATTGCCCTGATTAACCGCGATGAAGTTGATACTTCAGACTGCGAGCAGAGGTGTCTGCTGGTCTGAATGACCGGACCACCAACCAGAGGCCTGATCAGAATGCTGGCCGCCGGTGTGGGAGGGAGGGAGGGAGGGGACATCCCTGCATGGAACCTCATATTCCAGTAATATTTTTTTAAAGATAATTTTTTTATTAATATGATCATTTTGCCAGAGAGATAATCCACGATGCCTCTAAACTGCCCATATTCAATCCAATCACAAAGTACCACTACCATTACAGGTTGGGTGGGTGAGGGGTGGAGACAGTACCACACAGGTTGGATAAGGGATGCAATATATATATATGCACCTGACACACTTGTAACCTCAGTGTGTTGGTGTTTACGGGCTCGCCATAGCCCGTGCTACATGGACATTTTGTTCTAAAACAACAAAGAATTGTAACCTTGGCAGACAAGCAGGGCGGTACGAGCACCACACACCCAACACCGTCCATCAAAACACACAATAAATCATTCCCACTACGTACACACCCCCACACCCACCATACAGTGTACACTTCTACACAACGCACACACCCCCACACCCACCGTACAGTGTACACTTCTACACAACGCACACACCCCCACACCCACCATACAGTGTACACTACTACACAACGTACACACACCCCACCATACAGTGTACACTTCTACACAACGTACATACACCCCACCATACAGTGTACACTACTACACAACGCACACACCCCACCGTACAGTGTACACTTCTACACAACGCACACACCCCCACACCCACCATACAGTGTACACTACTACACAACGTACACAAACCCCACCATACAGTGTACACTTCTACACAACGCACACACCCCCACACCCACCATACAGTGTACACTACTACACAACGTACACACCACCCCACCATACAGTGTACACTTATACACAACGCACACACCCCACCGTACAGTGTACACTACTACACAACGTACACACACCCCACCATACAGTGTACACTACTACACAACGTACACACACCACCGTACAGTGTACACTACACAACGCACACACCCCACCGTACAGTGTACACTACTACACAACGTACACACACCCCACCATACAGTGTACACTTCTACACAACGTACATACACCCCACCATACAGTGTACACTACTACACAACGTACACACACCCCACCATACAGTGTACACTACTACACAACGTACGCACCCCACCGTACAGTATACACTTCTACACAACGTACACACACCCCACCGTACAGTGTACAGCCTGCCTGGGACTCACATCTACGGGACTCCATACGGACGAGGGCTCGCCGTATGGCAGCGATGTTCTTGGCATCGTCCTCGTGGTCGTCCTCTGGGAGGGGTGCCTTTTCTTCACTCATGGCTCAAGTTAACGTCCCAAAGTTAAGCCCAAACTGATCCTTTTCCTCCCTCAAAACTGGCTCTCGTCTCCCCCTCAACAACCGCTTAAGTAAGGTCTTTACAGCGAGGTGGCACTTAAAGCTGGCTCTCTCTGCGACAAAGTTGACACTCAAAATTTCTTCTTCGGTGTAAAATTGGAATCTACTTCACAGTTTAGTATGTACACACAGGCAGGTGAGTTCCCTGAGCGGATCACCCCAGGCAGCCAGCCCTCGGCGTGTGAATGAAAGAAGTAAGTCGTGCTCTGCCGGCCAAGTTACAAGAGGATATCGTCTACTGGTCACTAGAGACCGCCACCAATGTCGTACAGCCAGCGCACACGACACACGCGATAGATAATTCCAGCGTCAGCGAGGGTACAGTCTGTTACTTTGCGACCAGAGACTGGAGAGGGTTGTCCAACCAGTCACTCACGGACGGAGACACCGAGAGACAGACAACTGGGCGACCGGCGTCCCGGGTATATAAAACCCTCTTCTTCCTTATCAGTCACGAGGCTACTGTTCCTTCTTTTCCCAGGGTTAACAGCGAACGTCCCTAGTCAGAGTGGCATACCTGGTTGATACCTGGTTGATGGGGTTCTGGGAGTTCTTCTACTCCCCAAGCCCGGCCCGAGGCCAGGCTTCGGCCGCTGACATGACACAATGGCATGATTTATTAAATTATAAATTTTGCCCCGAGGGGCGAGTTTATTGGGCAGCGCCACTCATCTTGTGAGTGGACACACCGCCATAGCAGCATGTACAACACTCCCCAATAGGAAGAAAAGACGCTGGGTTGTTCATGATGCACAACGCATGAAGAAGGGTTCACTGGTACGTCGATGGATCCAGATTCAAGGTGTTCAATTCTCATCTTTCCTGTCCTGCACGAATCTTTTTCCTTTCTAACTATAATATCTCTTATTCTCCAGTGACCCTCCATGCTCATCCTGGGACTTATAGCTTGGGATCGAAATACTGGGTGAGGGGAGTGATGGGGGGGGGATGAGGTCACTTGCCTCCTCAACAGAGATTACAGGAGATAAAATGCGCATCCAGAGTTGATAACAGGTTCAGGTGGATGATAACACAGTGCTCCTCGTCCTGCCTCTCGCCCTCGTTATCCTCCACCGCTATCCTCTTCCTCCACCTCCTGCTCTTACATCCTTCTACTCAAAACGTCATACCTCCGCTCCTGCTCCTCCTGCTCCATGGTGGTGGGGAAGGGAGGGCTGAGCAAGAGAGAGGGGGTCACACACACACACACACACACACACACACACACACACACACACACACACACACACACCAGGGGGGAGGGGACGACGGGACATGGGTGGAAACTGGAAACTCAGGTGAGTCACAGAGATGTTAAGAAGTTTTCTTTTAGCGTGAGAGTAGTGGAAAAATGGAATGCACTTGGGGAACAGGTTGTGGAAGCAAACTCTATTCATACTTTTAAAATTAGGAATGATAGGGAAATGGGACAGGAGTCATTGCTGTAAACAACCGATGGCTGGAAAGGCAGGATCCAAGAGCCAATGCTCGATCCTGCAAGCATAAATAGGTGAGTACACACACACACACACACACACACACACACACACACACACACACACACACACACACACACTCTGAGCGCAACAGCCACCACCACAACGCAAGATAACGCACTCAACACATCTCTTCCAACAAAAATGTCAACGGTCTTTCATTACCTAAATTACACCTTATCAAATTATGAAAGCTAATTACAGCTACTAATTATAGCTTCAGGCTGAGAAAAAGATTGACAGCATCCTGTGAATGTGACATCTCTCCCCCCCCCCCCTCACCCCCTTCCCCTCATCTCTCACCCCCTTCCCCCTCCCCCTCATCTCTCACCCCCTCCCCCCCTCTGCTAGACCAACTCTCCTCCTACAAAGAACGTCGCATTTCGCTCGTATGCGTTACCTACGGCCAAAAACTGTCGTACAAGAAAATGGAAGCGGCTGGCGAAAGGGACGTACTGTCCCGTTTTCTGTTTTGGGTC